AGTTTGAAAGCCACAAGTCTATAGAGTCTTTTCCCACTGAGATGTGGCCACCACTGGGGTGGGGCATGAGGGCTACTTATACAATTGACAGGGAGGAATTCGGGGGGGGGGGGGTTGGCTGTGGAGAGAGGGATTGGGTCAGGGTTGCTAGAACAATTTGTACAGTGGGGGTGCTGAGAACTACTGAATCAAACTGCAAACCCTGTATATGATGGGAACCACTTTAAGCAAGATGGTGCGGAGGGGAAGGGAGAGATGTGGGGAGGCTGCTTTGGGGACTGGGGTGGGGGAGCTGAAAAGGATCTGGGGAGGCTTCTATGGGGAGTGGGATAGGATATGGGGGGCTGCTGTGGGGGGTGGAGTGGGGGCAGGGAAGAACCTGGGGCATAGGATGGGGGGGCAGAGACTGATCTGCAGGGGCCATTGTGAATTTCACCCTAGCATTCAAGCTGGAAGGTTTAATCTCACTTTCTTACCTATGTCCTGGGGGAATCGCATACGGCATCTCAGAATTGATTCCCACAATACACACACACCACCTGCAGTTCCCAACCCCCACTCCCACAGACTCTGTTTGAGGGCAGGAAGCTGTCTTCTCGGGGGTAGAGCACAGGTGGTGGGCGGCTCAGTCGGGATGGGAGATGTTCACAAAGCACAGTCTGCAAAGCCTCCGAGGCAGCCAGCTCTGTGCAAGCCTTGAACAGCTCGGCTCAACTCTGGGGCCAATTGTGATGAAGAATCGGTGATCCTGTCTGCAGAGACGGTCACCCACATCCGGGGCAGCCCCAGCCCCAGAGCAGGAGCTGAGCGGCAGCCGCGTCATTGCAAAAATTCAGCCCGTTTACACCTGGAGAACCACCAGACCAAGCTTGGGCCCCTGAAGTGACGCTGGGTCAGAGTGATTAGTGGGTGGGTCCTGCCACCCTTCACCTCTGGTCAACCCTCAAAAGTCCTGGAGAGACCTTGTCAGGTGGCGAGTGAATCATGAATCTCTCACTTCGTTGGCTGTAAGCCACACGACATAGTGTCTACTCTACAACTTGCTACTCGATTGCTACTCGATTGGTTGGACGCTGGAGAACGGCCAGCAACGTAGCGAAGGGCGAAAGCTGCATGAACTTTGGACACACCCAGCTGAATTACATGAATGCTTCTCCCAGCCACTCATGAACCATCTATAAGGAGACTCCAGTCAATTCCCCCGGCTCCCTGGCCTTCCAGCCCAGATATGTACCATCCTGCATTGGTCAGAAGCCGGGCCAGTGTAAGTTCATTACCCAGTCCACCCCTCCCTCAATGTGGACAGGACACGCACCAGCTTTTGTAAACTGAGCTGAGATGTCCCAAGAACTTCAACCAAACACACAGTTTTAGGAAGAATATAAAACAGGTTTATTAACTACAGACAGATGGATATTAAGTGATTATAAGCCGGGAGCGTAGAGATCAAAGTTGGTTACCTAAGAAATAAAAGTAAATTCACAGTCTGAGTTCTATAAAATAAACAGGATTTGAATCAAGTCGTGTCACACCCTGGCAGATGGTACAAGCAGGTGACAATTCCTCAATACACAGGCTGGGGTTGTCTTCCAGCCCGATACCAAAGTTCAAAGTCTTTGTCCTCCACATGTGTTTCCAGGTGTTGAGTTGTGGGGGGAGTGAGGCCAAATGGTGACGTCCCTTGACATGGGTCAAACAGTCTCCATTGACTACATATTCTCTCTGAGAAATCTCTATTTTATACAGTTCTTGAGATAGTGGATTCTTGCATGGGTGCTGATGAGCCCTTAACACTGTCTGGATCCTCCATTGTTGTACCTGAAAGGCTGGTTGTGGGTGTTCCCAACATCACAACTTATTTCAGTAACACACACATAGCAAAACTTCCCAACTCCCCATACAATGACAGCACATACAATTCAACAGGATATTAATAATCAACAGATCAAGACTTTTTAAAGGATATTTCACAAGGCAGACTTTGTTCATATTTATAACACAGTCATGAATATGGGGGTTCCAGGGTGCTGTTTTGAGGTACACAGTGACACAGACACACGCTTTATTTTAAAGTCCCCAATATTTTAAACAGCTCCTCACTCCATTGGCTTCCAAAACAGAGCTGGATAGTTCTGGTTTTCTGAAACCTTTGGCAGAGTTTTGTACCATCATTGACCCTTATAATTTGGTTGCAGCATTTGCCAGGCTTCTCATTTTCCACCAAGCCCCAGATCCTGGAATCATATGATTAGTTGGAAATTTCAGATTTCATTTCTGTTTTATTTTATTTTTAGCAGGTTTCTGTCCCTCTTTGTTGCAGAGAAAAGTTTGAAATTGCTCAAAAAATCAAGGAGGCAAAAATGTCTTTCTCTTCAACATAATCTCATGATGTTTTATGAGGTGGCTCATGAGGTTTGAAGACATGCATTTGGCAATAAAGATACAGGACTAGGTTTTTAAAGTTGACTAAGGGAGTTAGATGCCAATTTCCCATTGAAGTCATAGGAGTTAAGCACCTAACTCACATAGGTGCTTTTGAAAATCTCACCCATAGAAGCCTAAATGAATTCAATTACATCACTTAATGGCAGACAGCTAAAAAGTGACAATTTTTAAAGTGATTATATACAAATGCTAGCAGTCTAAATAATAAGATGTGTGAACTAGAGTGCCTTTTATTACAGAGGAGATTAACAGAAACTTGGTGGAATGAGGATAATCAATGGGACCCAGTAATATGAGAGTACAAATTATATCGGAAGGGCAGAACAGATCGTGCTGTTGGGGGAGTGGCAGTATATGTGAAAAAAGTGTAGAGTCAAATGAAGTAAAAATCTTAAACGAACCAAACTGTACCATAGTATCTCTATGGATAGTAATTCCATGCCCGAATAATAAGAATATAGCAAGAGGCATATACTATCAACCACCTGACCAGGATAGTGATACTGACTGTGAAATGTTCAGGGAAATTAGAGAGGCTCTAAAAATAAAAAAAACTCAATAATAATGGAGGATTTCAACTATCACCAAAGGCTCTGAAGCAAAGCAAACTGTCCTGAGATAAAGGGGAAGGTCCTCCCATGCATCAGAAACTGGTTAAAAGATAGGAATAAATGGTCAGTTTACAGAATGTAGACAGGTAAATAGCAGTGTCCCCCAGGGATCTGTACTGGGACCAGAGCTGTTCAACGTATTCATAAACAATATGGAAAAGGGGGCAAACAGTGGGTTCTGGAAAAGGGGGCAAACAGTGGGTAGGGGCAAAGTTTGCAGATGATACAAAACTACACAAGATAGTTAAGTCCAAAGCTGACTGCAAAGAGTTACAAAGGGACCTCACAAATCTGGGTGACTAGGCAACAAAATGGCAGATGAAATTCAATGTTAATAAATGCAAAGTAATGCACATTGGAAAGCATAATCCCAACTATACACATAAAATGGGATGGGGTCTAAATTAGCTGTTACCACTCAAAAAAGAGATCTAGGAGTAATTGTGGATAGTTCTCTATAAACAACCACTCAATGTGCAGCGGCAGTCAAAAAAAGCGAACAGAATGTTGGGAATCATTAAAGGGATAGAGAATAAGAATGAAAATATCATATTGCCTCTATATAAATCCATCTAAAAAAAGATATATTGGAATTGGAAAAGGTAAAAAAAAGGGCAACAAAAATCATTAGAGGTGTGGAACGGATTCCATATGAGGAGAGATTAATAAGATTGGGACTTTTCAAATTGGAAAAGAGACGACTAAGGGGGGATATGATAGAGCTCTATAAAATCTTAACTGGTGTGGAGAAAGTAAATATGGAAGTTTTATTAACTCCTTCCCATAACGCAAGAACTAGAGGTCACCAAATCAAATTAAGAGTTGCCAGGTTTAAAACAAACAAGAGGGTTAAAAAAGGAACTAAATAATTTCATGGAGGATAGGTCCATCAGCGGCTGTTAGTCAAGATAGGCAGGGATGATGTCCGTTAACCTCTGTTTGCCAGAGGCTAGGAATGGGCATCAGGGGATGGATCACTGGCTGATTCCCTGTTCTGTTCATTCCCTTTGGGGCACCTGGCACTGGCCACTGTCGGAAGATAGGGTACTAGGCTAGATTGACCTTTGTTCTGACTCAGTATGGCCATTCTTATGTTCTTATGTTATGTCTCATTGACTTTCAGCAAGGTTCCTACGGGCCTAAACACTTTTAAAAATAGAACGTAGATCCTTTTGAAAATGCTTCCCTTTCATAGACCCGTTGATCTTCAACAAACACAGGGAAGAAGAAGAGCTGGAGCCCCAATGGAAGCAAAGATGAAATAAGAAGAATAAGGACATGTAGGAAAGATCAGACCACAAAGAACCAAACAGCCTAAAATGCTCTAAAAATTAACAAAAGCAAAACTCTAATATATTTCGTTAAAATGACAGATTCATAGATTCCAGGGCTGGAAGGGACCATTGTGATCATCTCATCTGACCTCCCTGATCACACAGGCCAGAGAACTGCCCCCAAACCATGCCTAGAGCATAGATTATAGAAAAATATCCCCAATTAATTTAAAATTGCCGGTGACGGAGGATTCACCATGACCCTTGGGAAATTGCTCCAATGGTCAGTTACTCTGATCGTTACAAATTTACACCTCATTTCCAGTCTGAATTTGTCTAGGTCCAACTTCTGTTCAGTGGATAATGTGAGACCTTCCTCTGCTAGAGTGAAGAGCCCGTTATTAAATATTTGTTCCCCATCTAGGTACTTACAGACTGTGATCAAGTCACCCCTTCACCTTCTCTTTGTTCAGCTAAATAGATTGTGCTCCTTGAATCTCTCACTCCCAGGCAGGTTTTCTAATCCAGTAACCATTCTTGTGGCTCGTCTATGAATAAGGCCAAAAAAGTCACTTGCTAAAAAAGACAATTTTGGGGTCAAGAGGAAGTTACATGTCCCAGCGAACAGAATTCTTTCTCCATACAAATGTCGACAATTCCACCCATTCCCCTATTCAGCCGTCTCCGGCTCCGAGTTGTCAGTGGTTTGGGGGTCGCGTGCACGTTGCCGGTACCTCAGAAACTTTTCCTCCATGGTCAGGTAGAAGATGGGGTTGAGGCAGCTGTTGAAATATGAGAGGACACAAGCAAAATTGCTTTCTGTGATAAGAAAAGAAAGGGGGTACTTAGGTGAGATCAGCAGGAAGGAGAAGACGTGATACGGCAGCCAGCAGAGGAAAAAGGTCGGGATCAAGCCAAGAAGGATGTTGAGTGGCTTGGTGGACTGGATCAGCCTGTTCCATCTCAGCTTGGCAGCTAGAACGATGTAGACGGTTGGGATCAAGATCAAGGCTAATGGGATCAGAAAGCCGACCAGGAACTGGATTGCAACAGCGGCTTTCACCTTCCCTTCATCTAGTGGGACATTCGTGCTGATACTGTCAGGTGAGAGGAGGGATTCCCAGAGATCCCCATACCTCAAGCTGAACCCAAGAGACAGGGCCCACAGGCCCATAAGAATCATGAAAGCCAGGCGGGGCGTGCGGTGGTTCCGGGTCCACTCAGGGTGTGTCACGAGGATGCAGCGATCGACACTGAGGGCCGTGAGGAGGAAGGCGCTGGAGAACATGTGGAGGGAGGTAATGGTGTTGTTCAGTATCTTGGCCCGGTCTAAGCTCAGGATGAAGATGAATCTGAAGGGCAGGAAAATGATAAAGAGGAAATCGGCCACGGCCCGGTTCAGGTACCACACGGCGCTGGCCGTCCTCCCCATACGGCAGCTGTTGACGAAGATGACATATCCATTCAACGGCAGCCCGGCGAGCAAGGCCACGCCACTCAGCACCAGAGAGAGGATTGGGAACACCATTCTCAGAGGGGTTGAAGTCACGATATCCCCTCCTTCTCCTCAGGGCTCGTCGGGGGCAGCGCAGACGTTGTACTGAGCAAAGGAAGGAAGAGCAATGAAACGGGCTCCAGGCGAGGACCAGGACAGAGCGAGACAGCCGCAGAGTTTATAAACTCCCCCGATCCTGAGTTGAATTCAAACAGGATCAAATACTTTTAGGCCAATGGCACCAATGGTTCAAAGACCTTAAAAGCACAGAGCCAGAGGGTTAGAAGGGGACCCCAAGGGTCATCTAATCTACCACCCTGCCAAGATGCAGGACTTGTGCCTATTCTCTGCCCGAAAGTATTTGTTTTAACATAATATTTTCAACTAAATGAAATATTTAAAAAAATAATTCAGCTTCTTGCTGAAAAGTTGGATTTCTAGGAAAGGGGCAGTGGACAATTGTGGGGGGGGATACTCCAGGATGCACAGACAGAGAAAGGAGAGACCCCTCCCACCGAATGCTGACCAAAATTCTGAAATAATCTTCTTGCTGTTAGTTTCCCAAAGGAGCTGGTTTTTCCCATCTTGGTTAAAAAAAATTAAGGAATGATCGTCTCCCCCCTTTCTTTTGAAATAATGGAATTTTTATAAGTGATTCTCCTCCTCCCTGCCCCCTTCATTTTGAATTGGAGGTTTTATGTGGTTTCAGCCATTTTGGGAGGGTGAGATAGTGAAGCCGGGCGGGCAAAATCCCCACTTAAAGACCCCCTCTGTAAAAACCTGAAGTGATGGAGAACAGCTTCCAAGAAGGAGAAAATTAAGATGGAAACAACAATGACAAAAAAGACACCCGGCAAAACACAAGAGGAAGAAGAGACCCGGAACAAGCCAAAAGGAAGGATATTGCAAGAGTCTATTTTAGTGGTTAGATGGGGAGTCAGGATGCCTGGGTCCCATCCCAGAGTCTGGAGCTCAATTGCTTGGGGAGGTTGGAGAAGTCACGTCATGGCCCCCGACTCAGTTTCCCCTCCAAAGATTTGTCTGTTGAGAGTGTGAGCTCATTGTGCCCAGTCTGTGCAGTGCCTGGCGTGATGGGGCCCCCGACCTCAGACAGGGTCTGTTCACTGCCTGCAATGATGGAGCCCCCAACCTTAGTCGGGGTCTGTTCAGCACCCAGTATGATGGGGGACCCTGGCCTATGACAACAGCACCTACAAATAATTTCAACTGGCTCTATGGGGAGCAGATGAGGGGAGGGGATAGGGACAGCGGGAAGAGGGGAGATCCAGGAGATAGTTGGGGTGGGGGAAGAATGAGATCCAGTGGAGCAGCTGGAGGGTTTACCTAATTTCCTTACCCGTGTCTTGGGGGACGCAGCGTCTCAGAGTCAAACCCCGTCCTAGGTCTCCGACACGATGCCTGCAGCTCACACTAACTGGCTCAGCCCGGAGCAGGGAGCTGTTCATGTGGGGGTATATCTGATGGGGGGGGGAACAATGGGAGGAGCTCACAGTACATGGCTGGGTCCGATCAAGTCTCTAAAGCCTGGAAGGCCTCTGACGCCCACTGCTACATGCAGACATCATGAAAACCACAAGCTCCCCTCTGCTGGGCCCTAGCCAAGTGTTTGCATTCGGCTGTCGACATCCGGGGGCAGGTGGCGGGCCCCCGGCAGAGAGCAGGGGCTGAGACAGCCACATCCAGCTGACTCCCCCGGGTGAGGTCCCAGGAGCAGAGACGCCAGCTGGGACACGGCCCTCCAGCCGCTCCTGGTTGGGGAAAGTGAACAGAGACCCACTGGCAGTGGGACGCATCAGATTCTTAGCCCTGTCTGTGCTGCGGGGAACCCACCCTTGGCCTGGGACACGTTACAGGCCAGCCAATGCTAAGGAAACCCTCGCTCTGTGCTGGAGACCACACAAACCACAGCCCAGCCTGCAACCTGCCTTCGACTCTCGTCTTTTGCCTGGAGGTCTCAGGCATGGGGGCAATTTTCAGCTTAACATGAGCTCCCAGGGCCAACAGGGCTCCAGCCGTCCTGGGATGCATCAACAGGGGAATCTCGATTAGGAGCAGGGAGGTGATTTTCCCTCTGGATCTGGTCCTGGTGCGACCACAACTGGGATCCTGTGTCCAGTTCTGGCGCCCACCCTTCAAGAAGGATGTTGAGCAACTGGAGAGGGGTCAGAGACGAGCCACGAGAAGGATTAATGGACTGGACCCCGGGCTTGGGAGAGAGAGACTCCAGGAGCTCAGTCTGTTCAGTTTATCAAAGGACACGTCTACACCGGGAGGGCTGCTTTGGTGCAGGTGTGTCGCTGAAGCGGCTCAGTGAAGACGCTGTCTATGCTGATGTGAGAGCTTCTCCCATCGGCGTATTCATTGACCCACCAAGAGGCACGAGCTTTGTTGACAGGAGAAGCGTTGTCTACACCGGGAGTTAGGTCGGCATAACAGTGTCACCCAAGGGGGTGGGTTTTCCACACACCCCAGCGACGTAGTTATACCAACATCAGTTGCTAATCTATAACACAGGGGTCGGCAACCTTTCAGAAGTGGTGTGCTGAGTATTCATTTATTCACTCTGATTTAAGGTTTCGCGTGCCAGTCATACATTTTAACGTTTTTAGAAGGTCTCTTTCTATTTCTATAATATATAACTAAACTATTGTTGTATATAAAGTAAATAAGGTTTTTAAAATGTTTAAGAAGCTTCATTTAAAATTAAATTAAAATGCAGAGCCCCCCGGACCGGTAGCCAGGACTTGGGCAATGTGAGTGCCACTGAAATTCAGCTCGCGTACTTCCTTCAACACGTGTGCCATAGGTTGCCTACCCCGGTATAACAAGTGAAGGGTAAGTGTAAGAGGTGCCCTTTTTAGCATCTTAGGACAAGCACCTGAATTGTACCTTTGCTGCCATCTATTGGTCAGATGGTTTACTGCCATCGTCAGCCCTGAGTCTTTGGATAACAGTCTAAAGCAGTGGTTCTTATCCAGGGGAACACACGTTCCCCTAGGGGTAGGCAGAGATCTTCCAGGGGGTTCATCAACTCATCTAGATATTTGCCTAGTTTTACAACAGGGTACATAAAAAACCACTAGCAAAGTCAGTGCACACTAAAATTTCATACAGACAATGACTTGTTTAATCACTGCTGGGGGAATTCTGCACTAAGGTGTGTGTGCATAATTAATGAGCCAGACATATTTTTATTTTTTTTACTCAGAAAAAAAGCTTCTTCCAAAACGTTGCTGCTGTTCTGCCTTTTGCCCACCAGAGGGCGCTGCTGTGATAGGACACAGCAGCAGCTCCCAGCCAGCAAGGGAGGAGCCTGCTGTGCCTTCTTCACAGTGGGCCAGGTCAGCAGACAGGGGCTATGGGGAGTCAGGCTGCTGGGGGGTCAGGCAGGGGCTCATAAAGAATAGTGGGGGAGAACAGACTGGGGCAGGAGCTGAATGGGAATGGAGGCACAGGGCCACACGGGGAAGCAAGGTGCAGGGCCATATGGTGGGGCTGTTTGCAGAGCTACATAAGGACAGAGAGTGGCTGGGTGGGGGCACAGAGACACGTGGGGACTGGGGAGGGGTGAAGAGCCACATTGGGAGGGGGGAGTAGGTGTCTGAGTGGGGATGGAGGGATACGTAAGGACAGGAGGTGCAAGGACACATGGGGGTGCAGGAACACATAGTGACAGGGGCAGATGTGCCTGACTGAATGGGAGAGACTAGGGGTCAGCCAGGGTCTGCATGGGGATGGGGGAGTGGGTGTCTGAGTGGGGGTGCAGGGACACATGGGGATGGGGGGAGGAGTGCAGGGACACATGGGGTTGGGGGAGTATCTGAGTCAGGGTGTGCTGGTATGGTCTCTGGGAGCAGGCAGAGGCATGCACTATTCCATCGCTTAATAGATAAAGTGTTACCCCTTTCCCCTCCCTTCGCCTTGTTAAGAATTGAGAAGTGTTGCAGTGGCATAAGAAATTGTGGAGATCTAAAGGATACCTTTTGGGTAAAGAAGTGTTATCTCCCCCTCCCTTTCTTTCCCAGCCACATAAGCTAGCCTGGGGTCATGGCCCCTTCCTCCCTCCCCTGAGAACTGCAGATTAAGGGAATTTATAGCAACAAATTACTGCAAAGAAATGTATTTTCAAGGCAAAAAATGTGTGTAATGCTGTAATCAGTCAAGGGGGGTGGGTATGATCATAGTATGGGAGTTTCTATTACTTAATAAGGGGTGTGGTAGCTGATGTAGGCGTTTACATACTAACTCAAATTTAAAAAGTATAATATAACTCATTCAGGGCTTACTTGACAATTGGGTCGAGGGGAACACATATTGCAATAAAGAAGCCTGTACTCAAATCCACCTCTGGGTCAACCTGCTCCTTTTTCTTCTAACACCAACAACCCTCCAAGTTCACACCCAGGCTCCTTCCCAGCAATTACTTCCCTCTCCCTCAGCTCTTGCATTACCCCTGACTCCCCCAAGCCTTTTCACTGCTTCTGAGAGGGCGGGAAATATGGTTTTGTATTGTAGTTTAAATGAATGATCACATTATTAATATGCCTAGTAAGGAATATGTTTGTCAAAAACCATTTCCTGAATCTTTTTTGTTCTCTGTTGTTACAGACATACTTGCAGAGAGGTATTTTGTAATTAATGACCAAAAATAATTGAAACTGGTGTGATTATATTGTGTTATTTTGACAAATAAAATATGCAGAATTTTGCAGAAATTTAAAATATTGTTGTTAGGGTTCCCTCCCCACTCTGAACTCTGCCGTACAGACATGGGGACCCGCATGAAATTTCCCCTAAGCTTATTCCTACCAGCTTAGGTTAAAAACTCCCCAAGGCACAAATTCTCCCTTGTACCTTGGATTAGTAAATGCTGCCACCACCAAGTGATTAGACAAAACTCAGGGAAAGGACCACTTGGAATTCCTACTCCCCCCTCGCCCCCAATATTCCCCCAAGCCCTAAACCCCCTTTCCTGGGGACGCTTGAGAATAAACAAGATGAGCACAGACCAA